GCAGTTTGCCAGAAGCCATGTTGAGGACACAGCAAACATGTGGAAGAAGGTGCTTTGGTCAGACGAGACCAAAATTGAACCTTTTGGCCAAAATGCAAAACGCTGTTTGTGACAGAGAATTAACCCCGCACATCACTGTGAACACACCACGCCCTCCTGTCAAACATGGTGGTGGCAGCATCATGCTTCTCTTCAGCAGGGACTGCGAAGATGGTCAGAGTTGATGGGAAGCTGGATGGAGCCAAATACAGGGCAATCAACCTGTTGAGTCAGACTTTAGACTGGGGCAAAGGCTCACCTTCCAGCAGGACAACAACCCTAAACATAAAGCCTGGGCTACAGTGGAATGGTTTAGAAGATAATCACTTATTTTAACATGAAACCATTTTTTCTTATCTTCAGGTTGAACATGGTGATTTTGAGCGATCAGGTGTGTCCTCTCCTGTCGGCTCACCTCAGGCTAAATCTCAGCTGATTCTTCTTCAGGCCTTAGAGCGCTTTTATCCCAAACGCTACAAACAGGACTGCAGCTCAGAGCAGCTCAGGTGAACAAACTTTGCTATTCTGCAAAAATCAATGTCTTTCCTCATTTTGCTTGTTTTCATTAAATCCAGATTGCCTTTTTTGTAACTTTTTTAAAAACATAATAATTTAAAGTAAGACAAAGATTATTCGAGAAGTTATTCTTGAATAATGAAGAAAGGCATCTAAAGACACTGTTGTTGCTTTTGTTCCTTCAGAGATGTGACTGATTGTCTGGCCACCAAGTGGTCAATGCTTCGTGGGTGCAGCGCATCCGAGTGTGTAAGAATATACCTAACCGTGGCTCGGAAATGGCCTCTATTTGGAGCTAAACTCTTCAGTGCCAAGGTAAAACAACATACAGTATATATCTGAGACAAACCCTGATACTGAACTAGTTTAATACCTGGACTAAAGGTGTGTGTTTTATCTGTTTAAAAATGTCAGCTTAGTAGTTTTCCTCTGTCCACAGCCTGTCCCTCCTTCTACCATTGAGCAAAGCCAAGTGTGGCTGGCGGTCAGTGAAGACGGATTGTGTGTTCTGGACTGCACAATGGTAAGCTTCAAGCTGTGCAGAAAAAAAAACTCATTTGTGTAAAAACAGAACTGTACTAACACAATTTAAACTTTAGAAAGTCTGTTTTTTAAGGACAGTTCAAGTCGTTTCACTGAAGATTGTTTAAATAAATGTGGAGTAAAATTTTTTTGACCTTGTGGTTTTAAAATGTTTTATTCAGACACCAGAAAGCCAAAGGAGGACAAAGAAAAATGCATTTCCTGCAAAAATGCAGTATAAATATTGAGTACTGAGTACCTTACTGACTGTTTCTGAAACTGAGTTAATATGAAAACAAGCAAGCCGGTACCCAACAGAAAAGATATAGAGTTTTTAACCAGCTTAAAAGATTAAAGGCAGATGTTGTATTA